CTTTAGAACAACTTTTGTTAAGCTCAAAGGGAGGGTTACTTAGTACTAAATCCAGTTAAGAGGAATTTTTTTGTCTTATACAAGAAATATTTAAAATTTTTTATTTGTTTCAAAATAAAGCGGTTTATTATGTAAAAGTACTGTAAAGTTCAATTAAAGTTCTTTTAAATAATTAAATATGAAATTCAATTTACATTATTCAATATAATTTACTTTTTTTTTTATTTAAAAAAAAATTTAAACCAATTAAATAAATTCGTTACCATAAATATTTGCGTTTAAATTAGTATCATAAGATGGCCTTTTGGGGCATCCATAATCAACATCTCAGAAAAATTTACTTAGAAGCAAATATTCTGCTATTCAACTAAAGAAGCTGATTACAATGTTTCATGTAAGTTCTAATCCTAAAAAACATGACGTAGAAATATTGCCTGCATGTTACCTTAATAATAATTAACTTAATACTTGTATTTCACCAACTTAGTAGCAGCACATTAAAAAAATGAGAAATTCTGATAAAGAGGAAACCTCAAAAATAATATATATATATATATATTTACAAAAAAAAGTGAATATAAAACCATTAATTGTAAAAAAACAATAGTATGGGAATGAACAAAATTTACAATTATGAACGAGAACAAAGGATGGTTAATTCTGAAAGTACCAGTGAATTGCTCATAACCCAGCCGCATATATTTTATCAAGAGTTCGCTTTTGTCTTTCTAAAGTATTCATCTTATTAGGTAATAAAAATTCTAGTCTATGCTCCTATTTAGTCCTTAACGACGTTAAGGACTAAGAACTCGAACGATATCACGTTTCTCAATCCTTAAAAAAAACCCCACTTACACTTGATTAGGTTATGTTACAAAATTCATCCCTTCACGAAATAAAACTTACAACATTCTTTACCATCAGATTTATATATCAAAAAGTTATTATTATTGAGTATTTTAGTAATCTTGCCAGTTCCAGAACCTTTAAGTACACGTTTTATATTAACTTCTCCTAAATCACTCTTAGTTACAATATCACGTTCGATTTTAAATTCGATTATACCTAAGACATTCAGTTCTTAGATTATTGCAAGCACATACAGTCTTAAAAGCAAAAATTAAATAATACCGTTTATCTCATAATTGACTTTGGATGACATCATCAAATCTAAAAATTATGATAAGGCAGAAATAATTTATGTAGTGTGAGCCCCGAAATCGGTCACGGTCTCACGTGACCGATCGTCGAAATTAGGTCCCGTCGCCTACCCGAGTACTGGTCACATGAAAAGTAAGAGAAAACTTACTTTTCTTACTTTTATTACTTTAGTTACTTCGGGTAGAACGACGGTATAGGAGGCATTGGGTTTTTAGTTATCATGGTTGGGAAAGGGGTTTTAGGGATAAAGTATTGTAAATAGATAATGTAGAGGAAATAATCCTCAAATGTAAATAAAAGTTTTATTATAAATAAAGGGCTTTCCGCCCAGGGGGAAAGTAACAAGCGATACCCCCAAGTAATACAATTGCTTAAATAAACTTACAGTATCGGACCCATATTGAAAATAAACTATAACCCCACCCAAACTAAAACTATCGTTAAAAACACCGTAATCAACTATCGTTCGCCCAGTATTAAATCACTAAAACCACATTTTGTTCGTTCGAACTACCCCAGGATCGCCAGAAAAATTACTATGTAATTTTTACTGTCACGTGATGATCAACAAAATCAAGCCAATAATGAACCACGATTTAGTGTAACGTTACGCGATCAGAAAATTTCAAAACAAACGTTCGATTAGAAAAAATCGCTTATAACACAAAAATTCATATATGAAACCACCATCTGCGCATTAATAAAAAATTTTCCTTGACCGATTTTACTATTAGAACACCTTATTCTAACCCTAAAATAGGCTCTAACCCTAACGTAAACAAAATTAAAGAAATTTGTCGAATATCACGTGATAGTGAAAATTTTTCTGGCGATGCTGGGGAAGATGTTCGTTCGCCGCAAGTCACGTGACCAAGCCGTTAACGCAAGAGAAGGACTCCAACCCGATTCGACGTATCGTAACCCCAAGTTAAGGAAGTAGAAAGAAGATAAGAGGAAGCAGAGGTTAATAGAAGAATAGGTTGAAGGAAAGACTTAAGAGAGAAGAAAAGTAGTACTTACCTACGGATAAACCACCCTGCCAAATCTAACACGCCTATTTCGACTTAGCCGCCGTAGGTTACACGAGGATTGGAAGAATTAGCGACAGACTCGCCGAATTGCCGTGCAACAGTAGTAATTCACTTTTTCGATTAAGTGCAGAGTGTTTATAAATATTTAAAAGATCATTATGACAAAATATAGTCTAGAGTGTTTATGTGGTTCCCAAGGTTGGCATTTTATTATATTTTTTCTATTGATTTATAATTCTATTTACAATTTTTTTATTTTTTATTGTCAAATTTTTAATATTAAATTATTAAATAAAAAATAATTTAAATTTATTATTTTACTATACCTCTAATAATATTTAATTGGTATAATAGTTATAATCAATTTGTATGTTTTTTTTTCAATTAAACAAATTATCCAATTATATATGTATTTCTGTATTTCTTGATCATATTGCTTCTTATTGTAATTGTTATTCTTATTGCTCTTTTCAATCAACTCTGAATCTAGTGAATTCCACGATTATATTAATAAACGCACCTGGCTTTAGCCATTGAACGTAATGATGTGGTCGAAATTGAAATTTTTGTTTTAAATAAAGTCGATTTGTTTGAATCACAAATTATGAAAGTATAAATTTTATTTTCTATCAATTGAATTAATAAGTGCGAAAGTATAAATTGTTAGATGAATTAAAAATTTTAAAATTGGCGATTTGGCATTATCTTCAATTTTATACAATACAGAACTGGGTTAATATCACTGGATTTAATGAACACTAGTCCCATTTATACATTTTTTCTTGTTAATTTCCTCAATGATCAAGTATGTAATTATTGATTTAGATGGCCTTTTGGCCAATACTAAAGAAAAATATATTTCCTTTTTTCGCATCACTAATATTTATTACTAATTTTATTTATTAAAAATTTTACATTTTGTCTGCATGAAGAAATTTTCACAAATACTATATTTTTAGTGTGCACATATAAGGATATTTTTAATAAATCAGTAATTTAAAATATTTAAATTTTTCACGTAAAAGATTGTGGGATGAGAATAACACGTATTAAAAATAAATATTCTCGTATTCCAGTGCTATAATATTAATGTCGATAGACTTTATCAGGATAAAAACTAAATTGACTCCTACGGCCATGGTGGCCGTAGGAGTTTAAAAAATTAAGGTTCTCAATGATATTTACCTAGCAATTTTTGTAGCAAACTAAGAAGCATTATTTTTTTCTTCGAAAACATAGAAATGTACTTAATTTTGTGTAACATCATTATCGTTATCGTTATATCATAAATTCATAAATTATAATTAAAGTTTTTAGTTTATCCAATATCGATCTGCACTGTTACTGAAAAAGGTTGAGCTTAAACGTGAGAAGTTGAGTGAAGTACAAACTGGAATTGATTTCTCGTGAACCTAATTCCTAAATTGGGGTCTTTGCCTTGAAAATCAAGTTTTTGATCATATGAATTACTATGTCCCGTTGTTGCGCGGCAAATCGGCGAGTCTGTCGCTAATTCCTTCCAATCCTCGTGTAACCTACGGTGGCTAAGTCGAAATAGGCGTGTTAGATTTGGCTGGGTGGTTTATCCGTAGGTAAGTACTACTCTTCTCTTCTAAGTCTTTCCTTCAACCTATTCTTCTATTAACCCTTGCCTTCTCTTCTCTTCCTTCTACTTCCTTAACTTGGGGTTACGATCGTCGAATCGGGTTGGAGTCCTTCTCTTGCGTTAACAGCTTGGTCACGTGACTTGCGGCGAACGATGTAAATGCGGTTTAGTGATTTAATAAGGGGCGAACGATAGTTAATGACAATGGGTTTAACGATAGTTTTGGGTTGGGTTACAGTTTACTTTTAATATGGGTCCGATACTTTAAGCAGTTGTATTTACTTGGGGGTATCGCGGTTATTTTCTCCCCCTGGGCAGAAAGCCCTTTATTTATAATAAAGCGTTTATTTACATTCGAGGATAATTTCCTCTGCATTATCTATTTACACTATATTAACCTTAAAACTCCTTTCCCCACTATAATACCGAAAAACCGAATGTCCCTTATACCGTCGATCTACCCGAAGTAATAAATGTAATAAATGTAATAAAAGTAATAAAAGTAAGAAAAGTAAGATAAATCTTACTTTTCATGTGACCTATTACTCGGGTAGGCGTCGGGACCTAAATTCGACGATCGATCACGTGCCACGTATGACCGATTTCGGGGCTCACATTATCAATGTCGATCTCGCTATTAATTAAGGGTAGGGGGCACGTAGATCATTTTTATATAGTTATGTATGGTATATTAAAATTTTCATCTAAAATTGATATATGCTACTAATAAAACTTTTTTATTTTTTAATTAATTAATAAAAAAATTTTATAATATTATAAATAAAATTATTTATCTATTATAGTAAAATTTTGAAGTATTGTATTATTTTAAAAAAATATACTTGTATATATAACAAAGTTTACTTAGGTGGGTTAAAATTTCCTTAGGTAGTACAAAAAGAAAGAATTTGATTGGTTAATTTACGTAAATCTATTAGTTAATTTTATTTTATAATTTTATATCCTAATCTTTAAAAATTAATATCTCAATGAGTTTTTAACCTATTTTAATAATTTTACTATCATTAGAATCAGAAAGACCTACTCTACAATTTTTACTTAATAATTAAAATTAGGTTACTTAATATAATTTTTCATAAAATTAAATATAAAAAAAAATTACCATTAGGTTTATATATAATTTTGAAATACTGCTTCCTACTCTTAAAATCTGTCTGTAAATGTTTTTTTCTTATCCAAATATGTCTGCAAAAAATTTGTCTTCAAAGGAGAAACGTGCTTTATCAACTGTACTCGATTTAATAAAGAACCTTGACAATAAAGTTTTTCATGTTTTTGAAGATGAAGAAAGCTCTTATGGCATTATTGGCAGTAAAAAATTAAAGTATGAAGATGGTTGGGTCTTTACAAAGGAGGGAGATACGTAAATATTAGAAAAATTTTAATCTCAGCATTGTTATAATTCTTCAGTATTACTATAATTTTAACGCTTAGTACTGCATAGTAATTCCTGAAGTTGCCAAACTAAAGCAAAGTTATGATGGTATATAGTATATAATATAATTGATTTAATTTTTGCAATAATAATTAACTTTATATATGTACCGTGTAAATTAGAATTAAACCGAAAATATGATGGTATTATATACTGTATTTCTCTTGCTTTGCTATCTTGCATGATCTAATACATCCTATATTTATTAGAATGATTATTTGAACTTGATAATTATAAAAATAGAAACACAGAAGGAGAAGATAATTCTGGTAAGTTTTTTAAATTTCTGAGAATTTTATATACAGTCTTTTAAACTTAAATTTTTATTTAGACGTTGATATCCCGAAGCATGTTATCCTTTATAAGGATAATAAAAAAAAGATAATTTCGTACTTCAAGAACTTCTTTGATCCAATCAACGCCGATCTATCTGAACAAATAACTGACGATTTTAACTTGGAGTTTAAGAATCAAAAAGAATTTGCCTATTTTCTTTTAAATTAAATAGAAACTAAAGGAAAGAAATTCAGTTTAGGACAATATAAAAAAATCTGAGAAATATATGATGCATTTATCAAAAAAGATCGTAAATTCAAACAAATATTAGATAAGAAAGTTGGTGTGAGTACTGTTAATAAATTTGTAAATGCTGGAAGTAAAGCTATCAAAGCCATTAATATGGATGAAGCATTTAATAGTGTGATGATTTCATTAACGTCCATTTATAAATCAAAATCTGAACCTCTAATAGATTATTTGATCGCAGTTAAGGATAGATATGAATTTGAATACGATTAGAAATAATCATTTTTCCTTGTAAATAAATAATTTTTCTCTTAAGATGTTTAAAAACTTTAAGCTCTAACAAAAAATTTTATTATTTAAGTTTAAACTTTACTAATTGACTTTTACTAGATGAGCTCAACTTTTACGAGTTGAGCCCAACTTTTATTAGTCAAGCTCAACTTTTACGATTTAAGCCCAACTTTTATTAGTCGAGCTCAACTTTTACAAGTTGAACCCAACTTTTATTAATTGAGCTCAACTTTTACAAGTTGAGCCTAACTTTTATTAGTTGAGCTCAACTTTTATTAGTTGAGCTCAACTTTTATGAGTTGAGCCCAACTTTTATTAGTTGAGCTCAACTTTTACAAGTTGATCCCAACTTTATTAGTCGAGCTCAACTTTATTAGTTGAGTTCAACTTTATTAGTTATATCATTATATTTTTTAAGCAATATAAAATTATTTTTTTTTGTAATTTAGATGAAAATTTTTCGCACAATAGACGATTATAAAAATAAACAAAAAAGTAAAAAATAATATAATAAAAATAATAAAAAAGTAAAAAAAATATTAATAAAAATAATAAAAAAAGGAAAATATAAAAATTAAATTGTGCCAGCTTATTTCACGAAGCTAACAGCTTTTTTCTGGATATCAAAAACCAGTGTTATTTTAAAGATATTGTCTTATTTATCCAAATATTATTTTGGCAAATAATAATCTAATCACCAATAAAAATAATATATCTTGCATTGTCAAATTAACATTTATTAAAAGAATGAAAGTTTACCAAGAGTTTCAGTAAGACGTATAATTTTGTATGTCTGGTTAAATTTATTAAAGACATATTTTATATCATTTTGTAAAATAAGAATATTATCATTAATTTCATCGAAATATTTTTCATTATTTTGTGCAATGTCTAAATTTTTATAAATTTCTTTAATTTCAACTCTTAAATACTCAGTTTCATTTTGTAAATAATTCTTTTTCTCAGTGAGGATTTGAATTTTGTTGTTAGGGTTCAACATTTGAGTTATATTTATTATTTTAGCAGTCCAATAATAACAATAGGATTACATTTAATTTACGAGCTGGATTACTTCTTTTGTTCATCGATACCTCAAACTACCAATGGTTGAATTAAGCAGATAATTGATTTGTTTTTTTCAGTGTAGTAGGATTTTTGCTAAAAATGCAAAAATAAAGAATTCAAAAAAGGTTTAAAATTCAAAAAATGATGAATATGTATATCGAAATCAGATGTTAACTATAACATTAATGTTAACTTTAATAATAATAATAACTTTTCTACTCGATAACCCAGTAGAAAACATTAAAAAAAAACTAAGGAATTATGATAAAGAGGATAAAAAAGGATAAAAAACATTAAACCAAAAAAAAAACAATATATATTTACAAAAAAAAGCGAATATAAAAACTGTTAATTGTAAAAAAAATAATAGTCAGGTTATAGAAGGTGCTTAACAAGAGCATTTAGATGTATAGGCCATTTAATCTGTGTCTATTATTTGATTTATACTTCACCAAAATATAAAATACAAGCTTCATTTATTATCCAATCCCTTTGCCTATTTGTAATTATTGCTTAAATTTTAATTAATATTTACTATATTATATATTACATAGTACATTAAATGCAATTCCTAAAATAAATGTTTTGCTTAACAACTGTACTCAAAAAAATAGTAATAATTAAGTAACTACGATTTTTATCAACTATAAAATAAAGGTCAAACTTTTATTTTAAGGGATCATCTAAAGAAAAAAAATTCTAAAGAAAAAAATCATTTTAAGTAAGACAAAATCATATATCTCTTAACGATTTTTCGTATACAATGATATTTATTGTTTTATCAAAATTATCTTCTATAGCCAAACTACCATTAAAGACTGGACCCATATAAGAATTATTATAAATAGCAAGTGTTTTTTTATAGAACTTTGAATAGTTCCATTTTTCAATGAAAAAATAAAGCTATCATTGCAAGTCATATATGTATGACTATAGTTTGGCTTTTCCCATCCAACGTGATTATATCCACCGAGAATTTCATCAGTTTCTTTGACTTTAATGGCAACAACAAGATTTGCTTGCTTATTGCATAAATTTGGTTTATTTGATTAAATTTATTAATAGTAATATAATTATTACAATTAATAAAGTTAAAATTTTGCTTTGATTATTATTGTTATTGGCCAT